GTCAGCACTGAACTAATTCTTGATTATTTGTGTCGTCATGAACACCTTAATTTCATGAATTTAGGGAACTATACCTTTTGCATCAATATCATGTCATCGAAACACTGAAATGGGGCCAAAAGATGACTGCGAGTCATGGTTCTACTTACTTATTGATATTACTTTTCCACAAGGTTCGTTTTAGTCTCCTGGTCGTAAACGGACACGGGTTATTCTCTTTTTTAATGTTGTGAGTTATCGAGTTTAACAGTGAGACGTCTACGTGAGAATACTCAGTTTGAGTGCGGTTCGGTACGTTACGACGGGAGACGGGCGATTCTATCGTGAGCAAATGCGTCCGCACCGCTCAGGTCGCACGCGGCCAGCATGCGGCAATCGAAGAGCTCCCTACTTGTCGTTAGAACAAAGGATTCCCTGCTGTTCACGACGTGCTCTCCAGAGAGCAATGGGTTCAATGATCTGAACGAGCCCTGATACAAGACAGCTCGTACGCAGAGGCTTACGTCGCAGGCCGTGCCCACCACCGCGGCAACCCACCATCGCATGCCACATATCCCTTACTGCCCCACTTTTTCAAAATTCTGGCTACATTGCGGCTGAAATATCCAGCCGAAGCTTGGTCTCGCGTTTTTTTGAAAATTCTGATCCTTGAACACATATATGTAATCGCTTGAGGTGAAAACAGCTGTACCTGCACTAGAGGCGCCCTCAAGAGGCTAGGTTTGGCCGTCAGATTCTAGCAGGCGCAATCATGAATCTAGCAAGCGGCAGGGCATGTGACGGAATCGCGACTTAAAGGCACTTTCCGCGATAAAATAAGGCTATGACCTTTCAAATGTGTCAGACGATCCGGAAGGAGATTGCGGAGGCTGCGCTACCTTTAGAAAGTGAAAATCGGCAAGAATTCCGCTTTAAGCTAACCCAATTAGGCCCATGGGCGCCCCTTAGGCCCATGCCGACCCCCACCGGCTGCTAGCTACTAGCTAGTAGCCACTATGCTATCTCTCTCCATTCCGAATGGTGAGAGTGAGGTGATACGATAAAAGAGCTGATATCTTTATGATAACGACGAGTGGATATCTTTATGATAACGACGAGTGGAAATTCGTACAAACATGCGTTTTCTTCATTGCATGCATGTACAAGTTGGGGTCGATATGGAATCCTATTTAGGGCATTTTCGGCTGTTTTTCTGCTGCTTTTCTCCGCTAATCAGATACCTAGCCCTTTTTCGTTCCTATGTGGGTTCCGTTACCCACAATCTGTGGTCGCGGGCTTTGCCTTTAAAACGCAGCTGGAGGAGATTATGTCAGCATTTATAGCGGACACAAACATAATCGTTGGAACCGCTTATCTGCACCCCAAATCGCGACGCGTCTCACGCCCTATCGTTTGCAGGGATCATTACTGTACTTTCCAGGATTGTTATGGAAAGCACTCAGTGAAAAGAACGAAGTTCTGCGGATGAAAGAGGAAATAAGGAAAGAGAAACGGGTCAGCATCAGGTTGCATTTCCTCAGAAAAAATAGCGCCATGAAGGTCGGGATGTTTTAGGAAGCTCAATTCGGAAACATGAAGTGCAAGGAAGAGCTCACACGAGTATTGGACTACATTGACAGTCTACACTATCACGATCACGTTGATTATACGTTCATATACAAACTATTAGAAGAGGTAGCCGAGATATATGAAGTTTGGCTGCGTTCATAGTTCGCGATTCCGTCGCGCGACTGCAACCTACCGCGCTCCACTGCTCGCATTCCACTTGCTACAACGTTGTCAACTAAAGAAGTGATCGCACTCTGGACAAAACTTCTTCCGACGGTTGCACGGTCTGGCGATTAGCCGTGGAATGCGAGTCGGTTGGAGTCATTTGATTCCCAAATCGAGAAACTAAATGGCTCGCGTTGTAAAGTCGAACGCGACCTTAGGCTGCGTTCATACTTTGCAGCAGCTTCAGCTAGCGTCTATCAGCGTCCACCAGCGACCACTAGCGTTCCGAGCGTCCGGCAGCGTCAGCGACTAGGAAAGTATAGATATCGATCTAGCGTCTGCCAGCGTCCACCAGCGTTCACCAGCAACCGGGAGTAGAGAGTATGGGGAAGTAGGAGGGTAGCAACAGCTGTATTAGGCGTTGTGCAATTGCGGCGTGCGCAACATGCGCAAAATTATGCACGGTGTAGTGTATAACTACACTACACCGTGCATTAAATTGCATAATTCTGTGCTTTAGCAGTTGTGCGGTGCGGTTGCACACGCCGCAATTTCACGACGCCTAATCCAGCTGTTTGCTACCCTCCTACTTCCCCATACTCTCTACTCCCGGTCGCTGGTGAACGCTGGTGGACGCTGGCAGACGCTAGATTGATACCCATGCTTCCCGAGCTCTCGAGGCGCTGGCACACTCTGAAAGACGCCAGATTGATATATCCACTTTCC